AAAAAAAAAAAAAAAAAAAAACAGTTACAGCACCTGTATGAAGTCAAAGTACATCTCTTACGAGGAGTTTCCTTCATATGCCTAGGGCTGATAAGGTTTTGCGCGTTGTATCGAATGAAACAACATGCTCCACCGCTTGTGCAGGCCCCCGTCAAGTTTCAGCCTTGCGACCATACTCCCCAGGCGGAGTGTTTAACGCGTTAGCTAAGTCCCTCATCGAATCGCCCCCCAAAACCACCGGGCGTAGACCAAGGACCAACACTCATCGTTTACGGCATGGACTACCAGGGTCATTTTGAATTTAAATAAAAAATGGACTATATCATTCGCTGAGTTTTTGTTTCATTGCAATTGCCCGCTGAGTTACCTTTACTGGTTGAAAACAGTTACCTCTAGTGGGCAGCAATTGCCCGCTGAGTTACCTACAGTGGTAATTGCACACCGAGTTACCTTCAGTTGTGATTGCCCGCTGAGTTACCTTTAGTGGTAATTGCCCGCTAAGTAAAGAAAAAAGCCACAAAGCCCAGAAATTTTGCACTAGGTTTTTCCTATACCTTTAGTGCCTATTGCCCGCTGAGTTACCTTTAGTGCCTATTGCCCGCTGAGTTACCTTTAGTGCCTATTGCCCGCTGACTTACCTTTAGTGGGCAGTAATTGCCCACCCGCTGAGTTACCTTTAGTGGTAATTGCCCGCTGAGTTACCTTTAGTGGTAATTGCCTGCTGAGTTACCTTTAGAGGTAATTGCCCGCTGAGTTACCTTTAGCGGTAATCGCCCGCTGAAGTAAAGAAAGCAACAAAGCCCAGAAAATCTGCACCAGGTTTTTCCAAGAGCAGTCACCTTTACTGGTAATTGCCTGCTGCCTTACCTTTAGTGGTAATTGCCCGCTGAGTTACCTTTACTGGCAATTGCCCCCTGACTCGCACCCCACTGACAAGAACCCAAAATAAAATTCCAACCCACCAAGAGCCTAGCTCAGTGGGGACCACACCCATAAACTGTTGAAAAATACAGACCCGTGTTCGAATCCAGATGACTGAAGCTAATCTTGAGTAAGAAAGTTGTAAAACCAACTATTTCTAAATTGCCTGAGGGCTGGTCAGCTTAATGATGATATCTCAAGTCCGTCACCCTTTTAAGAAAAAAAGAGAGAAATAAATAAAATTCGAGCCAGTGACTCTCTTCAGGTAGTAGGTACAACGACAGGAGAATGATTTCACCACCCTTTGGAAGAACCCCACCCCAGCACGCTTAAAGAGACAACCGACTGCATGAGAGAAATTACCTATACCGCACCTGCGCGTACTCAAGACATCATTTAGTTGGGGTCAGGTGGAAGACAACGACCAGGAATTATTTTCCCCTTTGCAAGCACCCCAACCCGCGGGCCCTCAAAAAGGAATTACAGCACCAGAGGACAAAAAAAAAAACATTTACAACACCGGAGCATGCATAATCGGAAAAAAACATTTAACATTGAAAAGGTCACAGGTGCACAGGTGCATCCAGAGAAGCCGTAAAGCAAGTACATGCCCTCACAGGTTCATCGATCTATCTTGAGAAAACATTAACATTCACGTATTGCGCAGAGGTTTACATACAACTCCGATTCCTTATGCCCATCACATCCCCTTCACAGTGATTCAGGTACTCGCGACCATCGTGCACACTAGAAACGTCACTTTCACAGTGATTCAGGGACTCACTACCATCTTACACACTAGAAATGTCACTTTCACAATGATTCAGGTACTCACGACCATCGTGCACACTAGAAATGTCCCTACACTACATAAACATACGTTCCATGGCAGAAGCAACACAAAGAACAACGGCTACCTAAAGAAAGAAGAGAGGCACACAGGAACAAGGGGGCAAGGGGGTAGAATCGACGAAGCTACAGGCGGCAAAGTGGGTGCAAGAGTAGAGAACAAGGAAGAAAGGAGCCAAAAAAAGGGAAGGGGGGCAAAGAATGAGAGGAAATAATAGGGACAAAAAAAACACAAGAACACTCGAGAGTCTGAATGTAAAAAAAGAGAGCGGATGGGAATTAGCAAAAATGCCAGAGAAAGAAGAAAGACAAAGAGAGCGAGGAGCAACAGGGGGAAAAGGGGGGAGAGGACAGCGAGAACGCAGGGGGGGGGGGGGGGGGGGGGGGGGGGGGGAGAGAGGGGAGCGGAAGAGCGGAGAACGAAGGGAGGGGAAAGGGGAGCGGTGCAAGAAATTAAACACGCTTATCTAAGCAAAGAATAAACTCAGAAGACGAGAGTGCAACGAGAAAATCGAAGCCGAGACCGTTAAAAACAAAAGAGTAGAGGGGTGAAGAAAAAAAGTAGACAGCTAGGGCCGAGGGAAAGTCCAAAGACAAGAGCAGGCAGGTGCACAGGCAAAGAGAACGATGTGAATGCAAAAACACGAAGTGCCTTCGAAAAACGAGACGCAGAAAATTACACAAGGTAAAAGATTCTTCTCCATTTGGTCATCATAAGCTTTCGAGAGATAAACAAATTCGATCTCCAAGAACATGCTTAGAATGTCATCCACGATAGTCACAAATTCCCGCCCCCCAGCATTAGCACATGCGGGGCCCATTGAATACGTCGACGAGATCGGGCCCGCAAGACCTGTCGTAGTAACTACACAAAGAAGAAAATAGGTCATACGTGACCGGTGCGTCCCATAACATGAAGCGTCTGCCTGCTCCAAACTTCCACACGACTACCCCGCTCTCACCAAACCGTTCCCCTGCCCTCCGGATCCTACTAGACATAAGAAAGCATTTCACCTCCTTCATGACATCAAGTGTCTCTCCTTGGGGAAACACGAGTGCCCAGTATTCTCCCATGGACCCCTTTCCCTTCCCCCCCCCCCCCCCCCCTTCCCCCCCCCCCCCCCCCTCTCTCTCTCTCTCTCTCTCTCTCTCACACACACATTCTTCTCCCCTTCCTCTCTCTCACACACCCACACACCCACACATTCTTCTCCCCTTTCTCACGCACAGAAACCCCTTGCCCGCTGACTTTGATTGTCTAATCCCTCTCTCTCTCTCTCTCTCCTCTCTCTGTGTGTCTCTCTGTGTCTCTCTCTCTCCCCCCCCCCCCCCCCTTTCTGCTTACTCTGTACTCATTTTGCTCGCTTTTCTCCCAAATCCAATGCTTGAACGTCTATTGACTTTTTCACTCCCTCGGTTTTCCCTCCCTATTGTGCTGAACAACAGCAGAACTATGTACAGAAAGTAATTGCTCTCAAAGCAAAACAAGGATGCTTCTGATCTATATGTCCACTAGACTAAGTACAGAAGGAGAAACAGAGTCGTCTCTCCGAATTAATAGAATGTTCATTGCAGCCAAGCAAGCAGCTCGCTTTCACCACTGCAGCTGCCTTCATCTGATGAGTCCATTCCAGTCCGCTCTCGTTCCGTTTCTTGTTTCAATCTGAAAGATGTCGACCAAGGTCACTTCCTTCTCTCTTCCCTCAATTGCCCTCCACTCTCCAAAAGGATTTCTTCGCTTCTTAACCGACCCCCCTTCCCCCGTAATCCGCAACAACAGAGAACAAATATAGCGCCCATACACCTGTTGAGTGTCCTCGAGAAGAGAGCCCACATCTTCGATACGATGCCAGTGTCGTCCAGAATGAATAAAAAAACTCAAACAATTTACAATTTCCCCTTTTCTCCGGAACAATCAAGTACATGGAATAAAGAACCCCTCCCCTCCCCTCCCTTCCTTTATAGGCTAATAACTCCAGGGTATCATTTATACCCCGGTCGCCCTTAGCTGATATCATCACTCGCCTTTCTTATGCCTCCTCCCCCCCCCACTTGGCCTTTCGCTGCACCTATCAGATATGGAAACGAACGACCTTTCGCTGCACCTATCAGATATGGAAACGAACGATTCACTTACGACCTTTTCAGACCCCCGTATACACCCTTGCCACTCCATCACTTTCCACAATCCACACCCTTTACAATCTCCCACCTCCTCCGTCCCTCCCACCCGCCCAACTCTCTCGTTAAGTCTTTGCCATTAGCACGAAATCGACCAACTCTTGCATTCTTCGCCGTCTAATGACATCTTCGCCGTCTAATGACACCGCTAGACGAGTCAGTCGATGACATCAAGAACGGTGCCCCAAGCAACAAACTTCTCCCTCTCTTGCGTTCGTCGTCATCACAGTGAAAAGTGAAAAGCTCTCCTATCCGCATAAAAGGTGGCGCTCTATACCGAGTATAGCTCGCTCGTGGCCGTCCAATTTTGCCAATCTGAGATGCGAGACGATTCCGAAGACCCCGCTCGAGGAATTTACGGATGGGAGAAATGGAGAGAGGACTGCAAGACGAAGATAGAAGGAAGATGCGAGCAGGGACAGAGACGGGCGCAAGCGGGGGTGAAGGGGAGCAGGACCGGAAGACGAAGAGAGAGAAGGAAGACGAGAGAGAGGCCTTAGACACCCATCAATCCATCCATCTATCGATCAATACGTCCTCATCGCTCCGCAAGGCCACGTTAGTTAAATTTCCAAAAAAAAATGTAGAAGCCCAATCATGTCGCGGATCAGGAGAGTAGTAGAAATGTCGCATTTCCTCGGTAGGAATTGTCTTTTTGACGTCAAAGATAGACGTACGTTATTTAGCGATTTCCGTCGAAAAGACCGGAAGGGGAAAATCAAGGACATAGTAGAGAACATACGCACGCACCCACGCAAGCACGCGCACACACACACACACACACACACACACACACACACAGAGACAGCTCTACTGCTATGCTACTTACTTGGCTACATACCACCCGCAAATTCAGAGTGTCATCACAAACATCGCCAGCGAGCGGCAAGTTCCAGAATGTTTGGGGAACAGCACGTGCGCACAGCAGCAGTAGCAGCAGCGGAAGCAGCAAGAGTAATGGAGGGCGGGAGCTCCGTAAATTGTCATCGTCGTTGATGAGCTTTCTTTCTCTCTCCTCTCTTTTCCCCCTATCTCGCACACTTCTCTCCTTTCTTCTTCTTCTTCTTCTTCTTCTTCTTCTTCTTCAGCCTAAAACCTATTTCTCTACAACATAACACTAAAATACAAGTTAGCAGAAGCCCGAAAATTCGAAAAATAAGCATTTCAAAATCAAACGCGAACTCGTAACGACACCTCGACGATTTTGTGCGAGGAGGTAGCACGGGCATGAGAGAGAGAGAAAACGACAACGACCACAGCCCTGGCGTCCAAGGTGACTACAGTAGACTCGCCGTCAGCTCACAGCTCATTCAGCCTCAGCAAGTGCAGACAATATCGAACGAACTGACGTTCTTCGCGCGAGCTCCGGCAGCGACCACACCACACACACAAGACACATGCGAGAGCGCGGTTCCTGAGCGCAGCAAGCCACAGAACGCCGACGTCCGACACATGCACGTCGTAAAGACTTCAATGAGAAGAAAGAGAACACAACTGGGTTCACAGAGCAACACCTACTCCCCAAAGGAGAGAGGTGGCAGACACGACTCCCCATCGGTGTCCTTGGACGTAGCAAGACCTCACCCTTGTGCGCGAAGCGCGAACCTCCCCGCCCAAGCCCGGCGCATCGACCGTTCCTGCGAATCGTCCGCCGCTTTACTACGCTTGGTTCCCAGCACACACACACCCACGCCGCTCACCTGTGGCCCCAACCACCACCGCCGCAATCAATTAATTAAGAGTGGGCCTACTACACCGACCACCTCAGCCGCGATAAATGAGCAGACGAGGAGGACAAGCACAGCGCCACGCCTACACTCATCCACTAAGCCGCTGTAAACGACCGGACGAGGAAGACAGCACAGCGCCAGCATCAGTCAGCCCACAAGAGTTAGGTGGCCCCACTTCGTGAACCGGGCGAAGACGTCAGGACAGACCGCCACACGTAAGGCCACTGCCAGTATCACCGATTGTAATCGGAGACACATGGTAGGTATACTGCCCAGTTTGACACGAAAGGTGAAACGCCAGTATCACCTTCCAATCGCTCTGGACGTTCAGAGACGGGGCTATGCAATCATGGCCACTCCCAAATAGATAATCATTTGCGTTAAAAAGCTGGCTGCCTCCTGTGCATTGACTGGCTCTGGTCAAGAAGAAACCGACTGCCTACTCTTTTCTCGTTGTGCTGCAAGGAATCCCCCGCACAAACTACGCTCTGCATCGACTCTTCCTGCCAAACAGCGATTTCCCCAAGCACAAGCCGCAATTCTCTCTTACCAGTGTGTTTTAGTTCCATCCGACTCCGCACGCCTCTTATCGACGAAACGGTATATATGGGGAACGAACATCAAGAAACGATGACGGACGCGTAAAATAGGGAAGACTTGAGGGAGTAGTAAGAGAGGGAGGGCAAGAGGGAGTCGAATAACGAGGGGAATGAACCGAACACCCTAATCGGAAAAGATAACGATGGCTGGCAGAAGGGCGTCGCACAACCGTTTCGAACGGAGTAGAGGAAGAGGGGACGCGCCAGAGGCGTCAACGACGCTGTGTAGAATAAGTCATCCATCCTAGTGAAGGCTCAGAAAGGTGGAAGAAACAGCGCGAGAGAGGACTTCAGAGCGAGAAGAATGTAGCGCAGACAGAAGGGCGAGGGAGGGCACGAGGGAAGTAAATACCCAGCAAACCCAACAACAAAGGCCAAACGCAAAGACGAAGGAAGCGAAGAGGGCACGGTGGAGATTGGGATATACCCAGCCAGCAGCCGCACAAGGAGACATAAAGACACGATTTAAACACAGAAGCACCAAGGGAATCGGTAGAGAAAACTGGGCCTCCACGGACGATGACCGAAGACAGCAAGCAAGGAGTTGGTGGGATATACCCAGCAGCCGCACAACGGGGCACAAGGGGACGCGGACTACCACATAGCACCAAGAAAATCTGTAAAAAGAGAAGACTGGGCCTCCATTAGCGATGAGCTCCTGGCAATAGGGAAAACGAAAATCGTCCTACACTTCTACCGAAACACTCGGGGCAGCAATTAGCGCGGACACCACGTCGAATTAAGACTATCATCATAAGTAGCAACAATAGGGAAATTGACGACGGCATCCGGCAACGCTCCATTCTAGACGGCAGCAGGCGAGAGCAGCGCAAGGACGAAAACCTCCGCGACCTATTGTAGCGACCGGTCGGTCGTAATTGGTACGGAGAGTGACAAAAAGGAGGGTGAACGAGCATCTCCCCACCCCCCTCCCCCCCTTCCCCCCAAATTCCAGCCAGATTAAAAGGGGACGACGATCTGCGGAACCCCGCAACGCCGCCGGTCCATCCCAGAAGCTCTTGCGATTACCTCCGCAGAAAACACAGCGTGCGCAAGCGAAAATCATCATGCGCGCTCCTGCAACATCCCTGCAAGCTGTCAATTTCCAGAGTGTAGGAGTCCACCAGGAAGTGGATGGATGCAAGAGCAGACGCATGTCATCGTGTCGCCAACTCGCCGAAGATAAACATGACGAGGGGACAAGAAGAGAAAGGACGTAGGACACACGACAAGAACCTCAAGCTCACTGCCCTCTGCCTCCCCGTTCCTCCCAGTCCTCCACGCATCCGCTCTCGCATCCCTCTCCACACTCCAATCTCTCCTCCTCCCTTTCAATCCACCCACCCATTTGTCGAGCTACAGCCGTCGCAGGCAAACAGTGGGCAACGAGCTCCAGCGGCCGTGAAGTTGTATTCGCTCTCCATGACATCACCGTCTCCTGGTAAACGCATCCGGTCCTAAAAGGATCTCGATAACACTAGCGTCCTCCCACTCTCCTTGCCTACTCTCTCTCTCTCTCTCTCTCTCTCTCTCTCTCTCTCTCTCTCTCTCTCTCTGTGTGTGTGTGTGTGTGTGCGTGTGCGTGTGTGTACGTGGCCCCCTACTCGCACTATACAAGACTAAGAACGGTTTGGCGGCCGCCGAAAAATACCCTGCCAGTACTCGTGGACAAGCATAGATTCGTTGTGAGGTCAGACGAGGAGGTAGAAAGTGACGAGGACAATTACGGGGTGGTCCACTCCCTCTCTCTATACATATATACCTCCGCCCGTCCTGCAAGTCAAGTCAAATCAAGTAAATACAAGTCAAGTCGCGAACCGAGACCTCCCATCCCGTTCGCTACAGAAAACGACGATTATTCGGTTCCAATATAGCTTTTCTTTTTAAGATTACAAACCAAATGGTTTAAGAGAAAAAAAATCCCCCTCCCCATCTCCCTCCCCATTCGGCGCCCTTTCCGTCCCTCCCTGCCCCCGCCCCCTCCCTCCCCTTTT